GTATGTATGTATGTATGTATGTATAAATATATATATATATATATATACAAATATATACATATACCTTATGCGTGTCTGTCTCTGTGACTTTGTGTCTCTGTGTGTGTGTGTTTGTATGTTTGCATGCTTATTTTTCGCTTATTATGTAAACACAAGTTTCTTCAAAGCACACGTTGACTAGATTTCACGGCCATACACAACTTCACATCTCATCCACGGGACCGCGTAGAAGATATCACCTCTGCTTGTCTGTCAGTCTTTGCCTGAATAGAATATGAACTCACAAGTATATCGGAAGGGTCTATTACTAACACTAGTTAATACTAGTTTGTTCATGGCTGTAGCACGCTTGTCGTCGTCCCCTTGCATGCTACCCTTATCGCAAGCTGTCGAAATCTGGAGTGAAGCTTAAGCTTATGCGCCTTGTTTTAGGTCTGTATGTTACCTCATTCTTTATTGTGACTGCGGACAGACCCATTGTTTATTCCTGTTTGATTACTATATCATTCGGTAGAACCTCAAGAACTCTAAATCCTAAACCATACACCTCTAAACCTTGGATCTGTGTACCGTGCAGGAGGAGCGACTAGCCTTGGGCCGAGTCACGGCCGTCAAGGAACTCACACGCTCCATCGATGACAAAAAGGCGCGCGAAGCCAGCAAGAACGACGAGGTGCCTGAGAAGGAGGGGAACGATGCGGATGACGCAGACGCTGTAGACTACGAAGGTATGGGACTACACCACATACATACAATAGAAACCCTAAACCCTAAAGTATGTATATACAGTTGCACACACACAAACCTAACACACATATATATATATATATATATATATATGTATGCTAACACACGCACACGTATACGTGCACTTTCATATGTATCCGCACACACCGATATATACTCGCGCACGCATGTCTTCTACACACACGCGAGCTATCAGAGTACATTTACAAACATACGTTATTAACACACATACACACACCCACACATTTTAACATAGACACACACATCCGCACATTATTAACATAGTCACACACACCCACACATTATTAACATAGACACACACACCCACACATTATAAACATAGACACACACACACACACACATTATAACATAGACACACACACACACACCCACACAGTATAACATAGACACACACACACACACTACAAACATAGACACACACACACACATTATCAACATAGATACACACACACACACATTATTAACATAGACACACACACACACACATTCATAGACACACACACACATTCATAGACACACACACACATTCATAGACACACACATTCATAGACACACACACATATTCATAGACACACACACACATTCATAGACACACACACCCACACACTATTAATTTAGACACACACATATATATATATATATATATATATATTATATATATATATATATACATATATATATATATATATACCCCACACATTATAAACATAGATACACAGCCACACATTATTAACATAGATACACACACTCTATGTACAGAGGAAGCGGAAGAGGCGGACGACGAGACAGTCGAAGTGGACGACAAAAAATACGCGAACAAGGCACTCTCCAAGTACAAAGGCAAGCAGAACACCGACCCCGACGAAGACGATGAGAGGCATATCAGAGGAGTTATACAACGCTTTGTAGATGCAGGATGGGATAGGAATGATCCAAGAGTATGTCTGGCTGGATGGGACTGAAAGCTTAGTCAGTGTTTATTTAATGTTGTCCAAGGGTATGTGTGACTGGATGGGCGGAAAGCTGTTTGTAGTCAGATATGGCACTTGATTGGTATGGTTCTTGAGTAGG